TACTTCTTCCTTAGAGACAAGAACAGTGGTTGGAAACCTGTGGCCTCGAGGCTACATGTGGCCCTCTAGGTCCTCAAGTATGGCATTTTGATTCAGTCAGTGGGTCACACCTGAGGATCTAGAGGGCCACATGTGGCCTCAAGGCCACAGGTTCCCCATCCCTGGACTAAAGAATAAGATGAGAAGATGGTGGATGAAACTGAAGTGATTTCAAATGTGGAATTGGAAAAGAGAAAGCTAAGGCAAATGTCTTCCAATATTTCAGTGAGGTATGAGGTGAGGTTTTTTTATAGAGAGGCTGATGTAGGTCACCTAAGAGAGAAACAAAGGACTAAAGCAGACGACATGGGGAGTCTGATAAAATCGTGTCACTCATGTGCTGAACATGGTGCTAAACACTGGGGACATTTTAAAATTTAGATAAAAAGTATTCCCTACTCTCATGAAGCTTAGCAAAGGGATATGATGTGCACAGATACAGTAACTGTAACAGAAAGCAATACATGATAGATGCCTACCAGGGTTACAAAAAAAAAAAAAGTACTATGAGTAGTTTGAAAGGCAAATGTTGTTTTTGAGAAGGGACCAGGAGGTGTCCTCAAAGAGGAAGCATCATGCTTGAATTGAGCTTTAAAAGACTAGGAATTCAACACATGAACCGGAGGAGGCAGGAAATTTTAGGAATGGCAAACATGAATAGCAGAAAGCCCAGAAAAAGAACAGAGTAAAACACAGAGTGATCATGTTTGCATAAAGAATAGAGGAGATGAACAGCAATAGAATTAGATAAGCCTCAAAAAGTAGTATAGTACCAGCCTGGACATTTTGAATAGCTGGCAAAGGAATCAGTTCTTTCATTGTTAGATGGCAAGAAATCACTGAGCAGAGGAAGAGGGAAGGGAAGGAAATAAACATTTATGCAGCACTTACTATATGACAGACACTATGCTCAGAAAGCCCAGACAGATAGGTGCTATTTTTATCTCTATCTTACAGTTGTGTCAACTGATGCATATTAGGGTTAGGTCATTTGCCCAGGGTCATACAGTTAGTGCTTAAGGTCAAATTTGAACTCAGGTCTTCCTAATTCCAGCCCCCAGCACTCTGGCCAGTCAGTCACCACCTGCTTCTAGAGGAATAACATAATTCCTGTTATAACAGATCTTTTTATATGAACAATTAACCTACAAATAGTATAAAAGATGTTACAAAATAGTGGAGAGGGAAGGGAAGGGAGTGGAGATAAAGACTCATCAAAAGACTACTTCAGTAGTCCAAACAAATGGCAAGAAGGGCCCATACTAGAGTGGAGGCAGTGGAAATAGAGAGGGTTGTATGAATGAGAGGTAATTTAGATATTAGAATCAGCAGGAGTTAGTAACTAGTTAAATACAAGGGGAAGAAGTTGGAAAAGTCAAATACAACACCAAGATTTTGAACGTAGGAGATGAAGTGAGTTGTAGTTGAAGTAATGGAAATAGTATCATCTCAAAGGGATGAACAATTGGGATGGGGAGTGATAAATAAGATTTTGTTCTTCATTTATGCCTCCTGATTTCCTGTCTCCCTTAAAGCCTCAGCAAAAGCCCCACCCTCTACAAGAAGCCTTTCCACAGCCTCAATCTTTCTTCTATCCCTCTGAGATTACCCCTAATTTATCCAGGATGTAAACTGTGTGTACATAATAGTTTGCATGTTGACTCTCCCACTAGACTATGAGCTCCTTGAGAACAGGGATTGATTCCCCCCCCCCCCACATACTTCTTTGTACTTCCAGCACTTGACACAATTGCCTGGCACACAGAAGGTGCTTGATAAATGTTAGTTGACTGACTGAATGACTGTAGTGAAATACATCTTAGTTCTCAACTTATCATGTTACCTATATTCCAGCTATGATCCTCATCTCTTCCCCACAACAGAATTGTTCTCTACCCCACCCCAAGGTCCCCTTGACTTTATAGGTGAGCTTTCATATTATCTTCCCCAGGAACAGGTTTCAATTCTATGTCCCAATCATCTCCACATCATGTTGCTACTTATATCCCACCCCTCCCCATCTTTCCAGTTTCCCTTCATGTGTTGTCTTCTGTGATTAGAATGTAAGCTCCTTGAGGGGGCAAAACTAACTATTCTGCCTAATTCTACTTTATTTAAAAAGAAAATAAAAATAAATAAGAAAATAAAAAAGAAAAAATAAATAAAAAGAAAAAGAAAATAGAAATAATAGAAGGAAAAGTGTTTCTTATTATAGGAATAACATTGAATATAATATGTATGTATATATATATATATATTTATGTGTGTGGGCACATATGTTTATACACATATCTTTACAACTTTCAAAATGCTTTTGTCAAACTAACACTTGGTAGAAGATACCACAGATATATTTCCCATTTTAAATATGAAGAAATAGAGGCTCAATGAGGTTAACGTGCCTTGTACCAAGTCACATGGCTGGTGAGTATCTGAGCTAAGATTTGAACTTGTTTTTGGTGGCCAGTTACTGCTCTTTTTTTAAAACTATGCCACAGTGCTTCATTTCTCCTCTTCATTTATTTCATTTCATGTCATTTCAGATCAGATAGCAAGGCACAGAAGGTTTAGAGATCAGTGTAAATTGATAAAAATGTTCACCTACTGATCTCAACCAACTCTTGTCACTATAAAATTAGTCTTTCTTGGGAAACCAAATCTTTGTAATAATTTCTGCCAAATCGGCCTTTCAGGTGAATTTTTAGCAGCTGAGCTCAATACCTGAGTGTGATGCATTATGCTAAATACTTCTTTGACTCCTATTCTTGAGAATATGATGCTAATTTAGTATAGTGATTGCCATGTGTCTATAACCTAGTTTGATTTTCCTGGTGTGTATGTGCGTGTGTATGTGTGTGTGTGTGTGTGCACATTCACACACGAATGTGTAGGTAAGTATAGAGATGTATGTGCATGTATATGTGTACACATACATATATTTATATATGTATACCCACGTGTATATACACATGTGTAAATGTGCATACACATATATGTAATTTTCCTTTGAAAAAATCCCATTTAGGGACTCACAAGTTGAATTGTAACTAGATTGTGGCAGACTTTACTACTTTGGTTTGTCTGAAAATGTCCTTCGGGATGGACAACATTGTTAGGGTTTCTCTGCTTCTATAAGGCAACATAATTGCTAGGAAATAAGAATGCCATTTGTAATGATGAGTTGCATTCTTATCTTTTAAGGATATTGAGATAATGTAAGACTTACTCAATAATCCACTAACTATTTTAGACACAACCTTGAGAGAAAAAAATAATGTATTCAACAATAACAGATAATTATACATATATATGTATATATACACATATATGTATATATATGTATATATATACACATATATATGTATATATATATGTGTGTATATATATAGTGGCCATGTTATTTGGATAGCTTCTAGAAGGTATTGAAAACACCTCAGAGAGGAGTTGAGAATAAAATGTCATAATAGATTAAAAATAAACTCAGAAATTCAGGGATTCATTTTACTTATTACCTCTGTCACAGATATCAACTTATTTGATATCAAGATAGTTATTAAGAAATCTATTAAGTTCCTAATACTGGACTGGCTAGTAATAACAACAGCAGTAACAAAATATCATTGATATGATGCTGTAAAGTTTTCCAAAGCTCCTTAATTTGTCTCATTTTATGTGCACAATAATCCTGTAAGGTAGGTGCAATATTATTGTTATTTTACAGAAGAGGAAATAGATGCTGAGAGAGATCAATTAACTTGCCCAGTATAATAATGCTAGTAAGTGTCTGAGGTAGTGTTTGAATTCAGGTCTTCCTGATTCCAAGTCCAGTCCTTATCCAACCCATTAAGCACTAAGTGGTATGGAAGAAAGATATAGTCCAGTCCATCGTCTACAGGGAGTTTGCAGTGTTGTTAATCCTAAACATTATAGAATGGGAAATGAAAACAACAAAAAGCTATAAAGCCAGAAAGACAACTGTGCTAGGGAAAAAAGGAGAAGAATTTGTGTAAAGTGACAACTCAATCTAAAGTTGTCTTCCTACCTTACCCTGATTTGCGAAATCATATGCATCACAAGTACCCTCAAGTTGCAATGGTTTCTTAGTGTTTCTTTACCATGCCTCTTTTTGGTTTTAGATTTACATTTTTCTTTCAGGAAAAACATAAATAAATGGCCAAATATCATGCTTCTGTTCTCAGAGAATAATATTACCAGACAGTCACCCATTCTTTCTTAATTTCTTTTTTTTTTTAGCATAGCCTGACTCTGTTTTCTATAGTTTTAGAAAATCTGTGAGCTTCTATCTCAGTCCTTTCTCATCCTTTTTTCTAGTCTTGTCCTCACTATTAAGGTGGCAACATCTTCTGATACCCAGAACCATGCCATAAAGTACCAGGGACTTGAGATCTCTATTGTCCTAGGGGCATGGAGGCCCCTGGAACACACTTTGGGAAATACTTAGAGGTGTCAACAATCACACACATGAGAGATAATGATATGTGTTCAATGATTGTGTATTACAGCATTCTTTTTAGTTAGATGTCTGCATTCTCAAACTATATTTTCCCTTCCTTTCTTAGATAGGAAATAAGGAAAGCTGTAGTTGACTCTAAAACTTAATTTAAAATCCTCCTCTGGCAATGTTCTGGTATATTTTTCTCATTCTGTCATTACAGTTTTACATTTGTCATCAAACTGCATGTTGTGTCTCCCCATTTCCTGAAAATTGGTTGTATGTGCATGGCATTTTATAAAAATATTGAAATGAAGGCTTTTTTAGAGTGTGAAAATGAAAGCCCTTATCACAGTCCTTATGTGTTATTTTATCTGTTTTTCTTCTAACTGACTGAATTTATGATTTACAAAAGTCATGCTTTTCCATGTGGTTAATTTCATGCATGCCTCTTCTCTCTATTCAGTCTTCTCTCCTTACATAAAAGTCTTTGTATTCTGGTCGGTAGAACTCCCCTGATTGCTGCAGGAGTTATTGGTGGACTCTTCATTCTTGTGATCTTGGGCCTGACATTTGCCGTGTATGTTCGTCGCAAGAGTATCAAAAAGAAGAGAGCATTGAGGAGGTTCCTGGAGACAGAGGTGAGATTTCACTTTCAGCTTAGAATAACACTTTGAGACTAAGATCTTCTCCCACAGGCCCTACAGATCACGTTGCTTTGTAGCCCTCTGAGCGTGCTTATGTAATATTCTTTATTATTGTAACGGTTCTCAGTAAGGGTGTCTTAGCAACAAAGATCATAGAGCTAGAGTAGAAACAAACCCATGTGACCATCAAAACCAACTGCTTCACTTCATAAGGGAGAGAACAAGTAGACAAGTGCTAAGTGACTTGCATAAAATGTCACAGACAGGAAGAGGGATAGGCAGGATATGAACCTTGATCTTCTTTCCTCAGAGCCAGTATACCTTTTGCTTTATAGTGGTCTTCCAAAACATAGCATAATGCCCTACACATAATAGGTATTTGGTAAGACTCTAGTGATGGAATTATGATCATATTTTATTTTGAAAGTCAAGATGAAATTCCCTTTCTTAAACTCAGTATGATGAAGCCAGTTAAAATTCCATTCAATACCCAATGTATGTTTAGACTTTGCAACTTTAAATTCAGTGTCTTAAACCAGTTACTAAATGAACCTGGAAGAAAATTATGTAAAATCAATAACTGAAATATCATTGTAAGTAGAATAAGCAGTCAAGGTCTATACTAGTCCTGGGAGGGTAGATAGTGAAGGCCAATTATCCTTTTCTAGAAGTCAGTGAATAGAAGAAGACAAAGTCTGTTATTAGAGAAACATTTTGGAATGATTTCTGTCAATAAGATATTATTCTTATACTGTGGTTTTAAGCATTTCAGGGAAGATAGTGCTAGGAACAAAAAGATGAAAAAAGATAGAAATCTGACTCAAAAGCCAAAGAAGAAAATAATGCCTCTTATTTTGTTAAATACTGTGTAAATTATCACCCCCATGAACAGTATTTAGTATTTTAATAAAACATATTTGATAGCAAAATAAATCTAGTATATATGGATGATGTGCTCATCCATAAATGATAAGTAAAGCACATTAATAACAATAGTCATTTTCATGCAGATAAACTAAGTTTTTTATAGTTTTGCTCTTTTCTGTCTTAGTTCTCCTTTATAAATATTTTCAGATAAAGGAACTCACTCCCATTAAAGCAAAAAGATATGATCATATTGCTCTGCAATTCTTCTTTTCATTCCCTTTCCTCCTACTCCAAGACTGAGACCCTCAGAAGGTCCTCCTGCCTCAAGCTTCATATCAAGTTTTAATATATTATTCTCTTCATTTTGAGAAGTGCTGTTTTTAGCCATTCTTTCCTACCCTGTGGTACTGAAGAGCTTGGAACAGAAAACATCATAAGACAATGGGTGGCCAGACAGCTCAGTCCAACAAGCATTTATTAAGTCCCCACTCTGTTTTGAATGCCAGTGAAGGAGATAGAAATTTAACTAAGATATAGCTCATACCCTCATGGGGCTTAAAGTATAGTAGGGAAATAAAGAAGATAGAGACACACATATCTACAAAATGAAATAAAACATAGTTCTCTGCACATAGCAGGTGCCTTAATAATTTTATACAACTTGAAGTGAGTAAAGTACATAAATGGATAAAGATTAACTTTAGAATAAAAATGATAAACTTATTTTGGATATGTTGAATTGAAGGAATTAGTAAAACAACCTGATAGATTTACCATGTAGCCAACTGGATAAATAGATTTGGAACTTGGGGGTGAAGACAGGGCTGGAAATAAGGATTAGGTCTGGGGGAGAAGCCTAGTGGTACATGCTCTTCTACCCACCACCAATATTTGGGAATAGATCTCTGTTTAATGACTGGTACCATAGCAGTTAGACCTTTTGGAGAAAAGATAGGCCATAAAGGTACTGAGTCCTAAAAAAGAGTGAGGATAAGAGGTAAATGGGAAAACAAATCACTTACCTGCTAGTAAAATAAATGACCAAATATCTTTCCCTTAATTGTATCTCTATGGAAGTACAAAATATTAGACCTAGAAGGGGCTTTATAGATACTTAGTTCAACTATCTCATTTTGTAGATGAAGATAATGACTTGGCCATTGACACAGAGATAGTTAGTGACCAATCTTAAAAGGCAACCCAAGTCCCTTAACCTCCAAAACTTCTCTTCATTATGTCATCTTACTTCCCTGGCACATGATAAATACTTCATTTGACTCTTATGATTATACTATTTGTGTCAACCTACTTCTTTCCCCATAATTCTCTTAATTCTCAGTAAATATGGGGATAGGGGGCTATTCTAGGCTTTTCCTAGCCTGTAAACATACCTTCTAAATTTGAACACCCAGGAAGTGAAGAGGGCAAGTAGAATGACCACTGGAATGACCTATGTATGATGTGGCTTCTTCATCAACCTTTCCTAAGCTGGGTGCACCATAGCCTAGCCACTGAGGGACAGAATTCTACTTGTAATTTAACTCAATTCATCATTTGTTAAACCTTACTCTATGAAACAAAATGTGTTAGGTTCTGGGGATAGAAAAGTAAAAAGGAAAGTCTTTGTCTCCAGAGAGCTTATATTCAAATAACATATATACATATAATTATATTCAAAGTATAAACTTATATTGAGAGAAAGAGGGGATGGAGGAAAAGGGAGAAGGAGAGAGAGAAAAGAGAGGAAGGGAGAGAGAGAAGGGGGAGAGAGAAGGAGATGGAGAGGAGAGAAGGGGAGGCGATGGAAAAGAGAGAGGAGTATAAGGAATAAGAGAAGAGGGGGAGTAGGGAGAGAAAAAGGGAGGGGAGAAAGAAGGGAAGAGAGAGGGAGCAGGAAAAGGAGAAAAGAGAGGAGAGGAGGAAGGAAAGAGAGGGGGTGCAAGAGAGAGAGACAGAGACAGAGAGGAGAAGTGGAAGGGATGGAGGAAGAGAAGAAAATAAAAGCTAGATGTTTTAATAAAAGATTCATTGAAGAAATTAAAGATTCTTCCAAGGCATAGTCTGACTATTACACAAACCAGAAGTCATTCTATTGTTTTCATAGTTCTCATAGTAGAGATGAAAGAAATGCAGGGGCCCAGAACCCTGTGCCACTGTACTCTACAAACAGAATACCTTGTTTATGGAATTAAAAAAAAATTGGACACATGTTGACCTGTGGTTGCTATTCTGTATACCCCATTGCCACCATTTCCAAATTACATCCCCTGATGCAACAGTCTTGAAGGAGAGAGAGAAACAGAGGCAAAGAGAAAGAGAGACAGACTGACATATAGAGACGGAGATGGGAGAGACAGAGATAGACAAAAAGAGAGACAGAGATGGGGGTGGGGAGGATGAGTGTTTGCTGCTTTCCTCTCCTCTTTCAGGTAGAGTGTGCCATAGCCCACTTACTCCAACAGAGACTGTTTTCTCTACCATCCTAGTTCTTTTAGCTCTTGTATTACACACTTCACAGTCTGACTATCTCTTCCTGGTATATTTCACTTCTCTTCTCCCCACCCCCACAGAGATGTCAGCTGAGACCCAGTCTAGGTGCTGCTGCCACTTTCTTGTAGATAGGCAGTAGTAGCCCAGATGAGCTGACTTTCACCTCTAAGGGGTCCTGAGCACTAAGGATGTAAAACAGGTGGAGAAAGAGGTGACTAGAGGCACCAAAGACCAACTTTATCTGCTCCACAATTTTGCCTAGGGCCCCTCAGTTTACCTTCAACTGTGCTCAGACATATAAAAATTCGATGCACAGTTATTTTAGCCCTCCTCAGCCATGCACTTAGGCAGCTTAGCTGGCATGCTGGAGGCAAAGAGATACCTTCTTCCTGATCAGCTCCGGGCAGCCAGTGAGCTAATTCCCTACAGAGAAGCAGCCTGGCAATGAATGACAGGCCTGACTAGCGGGAGGTTTAAGGCCCCTTAAGTAGGTAACTAAGAAAAAAAGGGCTCTCTCTCTCTCTCTCTCTCTCTAAAGTCATATGTAGGCTTTCAGATTTCAAAAAAAGAAGACTAGCTGTTATAGGAAATTTAAGCAGCTAAAGAATTGTATGAGAGAATTTTTTCCTGTGTACTTCTCTGAAGATCATCCTTCTTAAGGGGTATATTATATAGCTAAATAAACATGTTCTTGAGGTTTTTAACAAAAAGATTCTTTTAATGTAAAAAGTAATGTATATATTCTAGTGACTATTTTCATGGTTGGGATTAATTACTGTAACAAAAAGTCATAAGGAAGCTAAATACTTTTATTTGCCAGTAAAAAAGATGTGGGTGTTTATGTGATTAGAAGGGAGGTTGATTGGTTGGGTTTAAGACTAGAACTAAGTAGCTGAGTAAGAACAGAAAGTATTTCTCTAAGGCCATGTTCTAGTTTGCAGATTCTAAAAAGGGGGAAGGTATATAAACTATTAATAATTAATATGTGACATATGAGTTTAATCATTATTAGGTAGGGATTGGGCCTGTGATTTCAATAATATAAGCAACTCCCAAGTGGAGCAGGGTATTTGTGAAACTGCCTCTACCAGTGGAGGGTGGACCATTGTCCACAATTCATAGTCTTAGAGAGCTGCTTAGAATACTGAAGAGCCAAATGACTTGCCCAGTGCCAAAGGCTGCACTTAAACTCAAGTCTTCTTGGCTCAGAGGTTAGCCCTCTACCTACTGTCCTCTGGCTGGCTCTTTTAATTTTTAAATAATGATATAATTAATAATAATTAGCATGTGATATTAATTATCTTAACAAACTCCACTAGATTAAATATAGATACTGTGTAGCATAGTAAATAGCATGGTATATGTTCTATCTCTGGCACATACTGACTGTGTGACCCTGGGCAAGTCACTAAATTTCTCAGTGTTCTAAGCATCTCTAGGACTATAAATTGCAAAGAAAGAATTGATCTGCATCAGTACTGGAGATTTCTTTACTCTAGAATTCCCTATTACAGTACAATCACAGGTCTATTCCCTATCCCTTTATATAACAATTATAAAGGAATATATAGTTATTTCATAATGATTCATTTTGACTGTAGAACATCCACTCTTTTGATCTCAGAAAAAAAAAATCATACTTGTGAATCACTACTACCCCTGTTGGAACTATACTTGAAGTACATAGAGAGTTTCCTAGAAGGAGCTGTTGACTTTATTGCAGACTTTATGACTTACTGCTAACTTGTAAATGAACTTTCAGAAGGTATTCTAGAGCAAAGAAATCTCCAGTACTGATGCAGATCAATTCTTTCTTTGCAATTTATAGTCCTAGAGATGCTTAGAACACTGAGCCATTGAGCTACTTGCATTTTCCAGGGAATGTTTTCACAACTGAAATGAACAAATGAAACAGAAAATGATGAGGGAAGTTAAATCCTTTCATTTGTTTAAATAAAGGTACTAGTGTGTGCAAAGTAGATATTTATCTCTCACTATATATATGTATATATGTGTTTGTGTATATGTTTGTATATACACACACATATAACATATACACATATATATTTAAAATCTGCATGTACGTCTAGCTTCAGAATTTTGACTGAAATGACTACAGGCTGGCAAATCAGCAATTTTTAACTTCTATTATTGCTGATGTTCAAATAATTAAAAAAAAATAACTGTTGCATGGTGTTTTACAGTTTACAGAGCACTTTGTATAGATTATCTCATCCATCACAATTGAGGTCTCAGTGAGAAGTGCAAAGGAACCTGACTACATGATGGTATCATTTACTGGAATGATTAGGAGGGAAGATGAACCCCACAGGGGGAAATTACAATATCAAACTGTTTTAGCAGCAGCTCAAGATTAGGGGTAAAGTTTCTGATTATACATTTTCTCTACAAAGTGATTCCCAGCTACTGATAGACATACCTACACACAGGAGCCTGCCTGCCAAATGAAGTAGATCGCGATGTTCATAGAAGCATGATAATAGTACCCATGCTGTAAAGGGACAATACACTTAGCCTTGTAAACAGACACTTTGAAATACGGTGGTGGTTTCAAGGCAATTTGAGAAGGAGTAACCCTTAATTATTTCCCTTACACAGAAATAGGACAGGCTATTTGTCTGTATTTAAAGTATAGTCCCTTTCATTTAACTTTTAAAGAAACATTGCTATTTCCCTTGCCTGCCTTTTCTCTCATGCTTTTCTGGTGAACAAGATGGAGAACTGTGAACTGGGTAATAGTCTACAGTAAATAGACTTAGACCTGATTAATGATTAAACCCAAGGAGTGGTTACTAATAGTCCTGTATGGATTTGGCAATTTGCTGTCTAAACTCCTTTTCTCACTGAGTTGTACAAAAGTTTCAATGGAATGCTTATCATATTTGAAGCTGATACAGACCTGAAGAGGAAAGTGAAGTCGATATCAAAAGATCCAAAAAGACTAGTGGAATCTAATGAGACAAAACTTGGGGGTCAATGTAAAGTCTTATATTCAAAGGTCTGGAGGAGCTGGCTCTTACTTGTTCTCTAGAAACAACTGGTAACTTTTCAGTGAGAGCTTTCATACCTCAGAAATCAGGAAAAAATACAAATCAGGGCATGGCTTACTGTTTTGTCAATTGTCCAGACTTAAGTAATGGAAAAAAGCAATAATGCAAATTAATCTTAAAACTGTTTTGTATGCATCCCCACCAATAGCTGATTAAGTATTTTCCAACACACAACTCCTTATTTGAATGCTCAAGTGAAAAATAGGTGCAATTGAAGAGCAGTTTGCCTGAAAAAGATCTGTCAGTCGCAGTGAATGATAAGCTTGATAGGAGTCAACATTTTGACAGGGCAGCTCAAAAACATAATGCAATTTAAAGGGGAGTTAAGAGAGGTGCAATGTCCAGGACTAATGGGATGCTAGTCCCATTTCACACTCTGTTCTGTTCTGGCCATGTTAGAGTGTCGTATTCTGTTCTTTGGGCCATATTTTTGGAAGGATATTAATAAGTTGGAAAACATCACAAAGAAGGAAACCAAGATGGTGAAGGGCTTTTAGTTAGTGTTATATGAGAATTAGTTGAAGGAACTCAGGAAGTTTAACCTGAAGGCAGGAACACTCAGTGGGAACGTGATAGTCATCCTGAAGTATTTGTAGCTCTACTTGATGGGCTGTTATGTAAAATAACAAATATAATACTAACAAATAATTAGAATTAACATAGTGCTTTACATTTTGCAGAACACTTCACTATGTATTATCTCATTTGATCCTCACAACAACCCTCTGACAGAGATGTTTTGCTCATTTTACATATAAGGAAAATGGGGCCTAGAGAATTTAAATTACTTTAGTCACAGTTACTTTAGGAATTAACCGAAGCAGGACTCAAAGAGGGATTTGATTTATACTGTTTATTCCTATATAGCATAACACGTAGCAATGCACAGAAGTTATAGAGAGGTAAATTTAGAATTGATATATGGAAAGATTTCCTAAAAATATTCCTTCCAAAATATAACCACCTGAGCTATCTCATTTGCTCTCCTCTTTATATATCTTCATTAAAGGCTGAATTACCCATCTCCTAGATATGTTATAATATGCATTTTTCAAACTCTGAGATTGTGTATTTTATAGAACCTATTAAATTCATATATCATCTTATCTCAGTTTCACACAAGAAATATTATATATGTGATCACACTTACTGATATACACACTCTGTCATCAAATCCACATTTGCCATCCTAATTTCAGTCAGTTCTCCCCACCAATCCCATCTCCCCAAATTATTTTCTTAGTATTTAGTTTATCATAACTTTTGGTCATACTGCTCATTAGCCCCATTTAAATATTTCCCTGTTTTGTAATTTTGCTGATGATTTTTCTTATGACTAGAACATCCTTCCTCCTCTCTGCCTATGTCTTAGCCATCACTTCATTGAAAACTAAGCAGTGGTGTACTGGTATATGTTTAACAACTAGGTCTCCAGGTGAAAAAAAATGCATCCATGACACACTATTAAATTTAAACATTATGAGTATTTTTGCCACCATTTTTTTAAAGTCTAGACAATCAAGAAAAACATAGATCCAGCTACAAATTGTAGTTTGCTTATTTTCTAAGTGTAAATTTCCACATTCATCATTTAGCAATTGGCTAATTCAAGCTGGTTTCAGCACACTTATGTTTGAGCTTCATAATAACCTGTCCCAAGAAACTTTCTACGACTGCTTTCTGCTACGTTTTGTGATTAGCTCATTCTGTTGTATTTCTCAACTTTCAGTTTGATTTAAAAGAGCAAAATCATAGTTTTTGATCTTGAAATCACTTTTGAGTGATTAATTCTTCACTTTGTGAAGAATTATTATTATTATATTCGTTGTTTTACATGGCAGCCCATCAAGTGGAGCTGCAAATACTTGAGGATGACTATTACATTTCCACTGAGTCTTCCTGACTTCAGGTTAAACTTCCTGAGTTCCTTCAACTAATTCAACTAGCTTCACATAGGAATTAATCACTATGTTAACTTTTATTTGTCTATGTTCTCTAGTCATGTTTATCTTAATTCTGTCATTAAATTATAAACTGGTTGAAGGTAGTATTTTTTTTTTAAATCATAGGTACCTGTAATAGACCAAATTTCACCACTGTAGTCAGGTAGACCAGGGTCTGAGATCTGAATGAAATGACACTGAAATCTCAAAAAACAGTTTAATTACTTTTTAAGGAAAAAATAGTCCAATTTCCCTGGGTTGGGACCCTAGGATATTGCTCCCACCAGAGCAAAATAGTACATAATTCAATTCAAGATAGGGATAGAGTTAATGATTATTTGGAATGATTAATCTTAGATACCTAATATTCACATGTATTTCCTAATTAATTTATTCTGTGATTCCTCAAAGAGTTCATGGTATCTAAATTAGAGAATATCACTGGCATGACTATATATATGTGTATTTGTGTGTGTGTGTGTGTGTGTGTGTGTGTGTGTGTGTGTGCATACCGCTGATGCAGTGGTTAAGGTCACACAATTATTTTGTTTGACAAAAACATGTATACATACACAGTGCCATAATAGAATGAAATGTGAGATGTGCAAATTTAGAGGCATCTCTACCACAAATGTCCATGTGGAGTATTTGTGCCCAACCCGTGGTAGAGCCTTCCAAGCTCATTTTTGTCTGAGCAGCCACAGGTGGTCACGCTATACTTTAACCCTGACATAGTGATACCATTTTGTTCTTTTCTAGCATGAAGGACAACAACCAACCAATAACCAGTTATGGAAGAATGAGCTCTGACCTGGGAGTTAAGAGACTGACCTGGGTGCTCATCCTAGTTTAGGCATTTGCTAATCACATGACCTAGAACAAGTCATTCTTCCTCTCTAAGAAAGAGCTTCTTCTTTCTGTAAAATGGGGATAATAGTCCTTGCCTACCGCATGGGGTTGCTGTGAGAAGCAGATAGGAAAGTCTTTTATAAATCTGGCCTCAGACACTTACTAGCTGTATGACCCTAGACAAATCACTTAACCCTGTTTGCCTCAGTTTCCTCATCTGTACAATGAGCTGGAGAAGGAAATGGCAAACCACTCCAGTATGTTTGTCAATAAAACTCCAAATGGAGCCATGAAGAGTCAGACGTGACTGAAAATGACTGAATAGCAACAACAAAATAGAATATATATGTATATATATATATAATTATTGTAGTTATTTGATAATAAAACTGATTATCTTAATTCCCTTTGTTTTTCAGTTGGTAGAACCCTTAACCCCAAGTGGTACAGCACCTAACCAGGCCCAACTTCGAATCCTAAAGGAAACTGAACTCAAAAGAGTAAAAGTACTTGGATCTGGAGCATTTGGAACTGTATATAAGGTAAGTTAAGTCATTATGAAGTATGAAATATTGAAGGGGAAGTTGGCTATGGAATTTTGCTAGCCTATTGAATACGTGACAGTATTGTAACTAACTCAGTCCTTTTGAAGGTATCTAGGTGGCACATTGGGTATTGATCTGGACTTGGGGTAAAGAAGACCTCCATTCAAATTTTGCCCTAGATGCTTACTATCTATGATGGCCCTGGGCAAATTAACCTATCTCAGCTGCAGTTTCCCCCTCTATAAAATGGGGATAATATTAGCATCTAATTGTTATGAGGATCAAATAAGATAACATATGAAAGTGCTTTCCAAATCTAAAAGTGGTTATCACAAAACCATTTTTATTAATGTCAATGTTATTATGTTCAAACAGAAGTGAAACGAATGCATAAACATACATTCATCTCTTTGTTTTATGTGATATAAATATTAAACTAGTTTTGACAACTACAGTTGACCTATCCCTGGGAACTCACTTAACTGCTCAGGGCCCCCGGGCAACTCCCTGAGACTAAGCTGCAGAGTAATTTTATTTGTATGGGTATGAGTAATTTTCTCTGGAGGAGATCCTTAAACAGTTAAAATAATGAGTCAAAACTCATTAAAAAGCAAAAACAAATAGATACTGAACTTGAAAGTTGTGAATGGATTAGTAACCAAAGATTTAAATGAAATTTTATGGTAATTTGAAAACAAAACACATCAGTAAAACTTTAAATAAAAATGGCAGGATGAGACAGACCCCTCCCCCCAAAAAGTGAAGTGTGAAGTAAGAGTTTCCTGTTGGTATCTATTTCTTCCTCCCTTCATAGGCAGCATTTCACTGTCCTTTTCCATCCTTTCATACTGCCACACTCATCCAAGGGGCCAAGGCATCCTTAATTTAGAAGTCACTAAACCCCATAATTCTAAGAAAAATCGAACAAATGCCTACTGTGCACCATACGACACTCATGTACTTGATCTAATATCTCTTGAAGGCTAATGGAATTCTTGAAGTTATACAGAAGCTTGTATTTTTTTAAGAATGCCTTTATTAAAAAAAAGATGTGTCACTTATCATTTTTTTCTGTGTTTAATCAATTAATCAACTGACAAGAATTTGTAAATATCTGTGTTCCAAATAATGTGCTAAGTGAATGGGAATACAAAGATGAAATGGCTCCAAACTTCAAAGAGCTAACATTCTAGGACTGCAACCCTTTATACTAATTTTCTTTCAGGACAGCAACATTTGGAATACATGCCTATTTTTCCCTCTAAAATGTGACAAAAAAGTAATGAATTATTTAGTCGCACAGTCAAAATACAAGAATTATTTAATGTCAGGGATATTTGTAATATTAGTTGAAGAGATCAAAATCACTTAATATGTTTCCTAAAGTACCTATATGCCCAGAGAATGGTTTTTCCATTTGTTTCAATATTACACAACAAAAATCCTTGAGATGCAGCATCTAATTTTATATTTTAAAAGGTTGCATATATGCTAGCTTTATTAGTGTGTATAGTAAACATGCATGAAGTATACTCTTTCAGTTATAAAACTAAAGGGTCTCAAATGCCAATCAAAATGGAAACCATTTATCCTGGTTATTTCCTGTTGAACTTTCTGCCAATATAATCCTGGACTTTGAAGCACAAAGATTTAGAATCCTGTTAAGCTGATCTAACTAAGATGTTTTATTAATAACATATAAACTGATCAAGTGGAGAAATGATATTGAAGATGTATGGCCTATGACCATCTCTCTGTCACCCAAGTCTCATTATTGCTTCTGGTTCTAAGAGATAAAGAACACACATAATATTTCCAGGCAACCAGCCCTCCCCAGACTTCTTCAGGCTGATGTGGGGTGACCCCAGTATTTGAGACTAAGAGTTTTATGTTCAGGAAGGGAAAAAAAAATGATGGAGCCTCATATAAGTGAAGCAGCCTAGAATAAGCAGACCATAACCACCAATCATACTTAGTCTATAAAAGTTGAAAGACAGGGATTGGTAGAATTATTTTGATGTCAGGTGCTGATCAGCTATTCTGGATATTTCTGTCTCCATGATGGGGGTCAGACTATATTAACTTTGATCGTGGATTTATCTGTCCATCTTTTGTCATATATATATATAACATATAACTATAACATAATTATTATATAGAATAAATTTAACTATTATATGCATATGTGATTTTTGGGATCATAGTCTTAAATCATAATGGTTTCTACACCATCTATGAAATGAGCCATTTCTTTTTGACAAAGAAGCTAAGACTTAAAGAATGTGGCGATACAGAAAAAGTACTTATGAGGAGTTGAAAAATGAAGCAGTGAATTTCACTGAAACTGTCAATCTGGATAACCCCCCCCCCAGGGGAAAAAAAAACCTTGCCCATCAGTAACAGGATCCTTTTCCACTTGAATTATCTGGATAATTGCTTCAATTCCCTACTTCACTAGACAGAGCCTTATAGAGCCACAGAGCAAGTTAGTAGAAAGCTGGAATTAGAACCAGTAGCCCTTGAGTTTCTAGTCTGTTGCTTATCACCTTAGCCATGCTGACTCTTTCGAATATATTGAAACTTGACATGTTTTGCAAAATTTAATGCAAATTAGGGAGTATGTGTGACTGGAAGGAATGATGATGTGGACATATGTCAGAATTTGAATGTATGACTATGCCTTCTTGTTTCAAAAATAACTCTATCTTGGTTGGATCTCATTGCCCAAATGCTAGTATGTCATTTATAGGTTCTAAGTTACAATCATGAAGTTAGGTTTTATAGAAAAACTGGATATATAATGACTGTAAACTGGATATTAACTAATGTACACAGCAGGGAAGAATAATTAGCAGTTAGGGAATTCATTAATTACGGTCTTGTTTACATTTGTTATCAAGGACCATAATTTGTTTATTTAAGTGATGTTGTGATACCATAGACATTCTGTATTCCACATTCCCTTATTTTTTTCCACAGACAAGCCACAAGGCAAGGCTTGGCTTGTTGGTTCCTTCACTATCAATTTCTCACTGCCAACACCTTCTCTCTTGGCTTTAGTTCATTGACACATAGCTTTGCATATGGAAGAGATTTTTGTTTTCTGTCTTGTACTCCTTCCTCAAAATAGCATTCAGTCCTCCTTTATAATTTTTAAGCACTACAATGGATCATTAAATGGGTTTTAATAAATAACAAAAAAAGAAAGTTGTTTTAATTTTTTAGCAGTTAATTTAAGGGTTACTTGCAATTATACAGGACGTAAGTCCTTCATTAATCCTGGTTTCTCCTTCTTGCTGTAATTTGCCTTTTATTTTTGTCCCCTAATTCTTTTTTTAAGTTTTTTTTTTAAAGCTTGGTCCAATTTTATCTAACCTGGTTCATAAGTCAAATTCTTGTATTCTTCACTGAGACTGACTTTGTCACGGTTCTTAAGAGATTAAGTCTTTTAGAAACTGTTTCCCCAATATGGTGTCTAATGTAAAAGTTCAAGGTTTTAGGCAGTTACTCTATCTCTCTATGGCACCCTCAATAAGGCTTTCCTTAGGCTGTATCCCTGAAATGACCTTGTAGTAAGCTCCCTTTCTCTCACTTTCCCTGGATATGGACCTATGACAATTGTTTCCTTATTTGTAGCAAGAAATGGATTAGAAAGAGCGTTCCCTTAAATGGCCTCCAAAGATTCCTCTTTAAAGTCCCTTGTCCCAGTTGAGAAGTTGATTCCTTCACCTCCCTGGAAATGTTAATTGCTCAGTTGGTCACCAAAATTTTAATAAACTTTTTTTCTATATTTCAGATACTATGCTACATTGTTGTAGATGTGAAAAAAAAGTAAATAATTAGAAAAATAAAATTAAAAAACTCAACCAACTAAATAAACAACAAAAATTCAATCTCTTCTCTGATGGAGCTCATAATCTGTTGGGGGAGACAGCATGCAAACAAATATCTACAAATATTATATGCAGTATATAAATGGATAAATCCAAGATAATCAAGAGATGAAAGGCACTCACATTAAATAGGATTTTGAAAGATCTCTGATAGAAATTATGAATTGAGGGGCAGTTAGGTGGTGCAGTGGATAAAGCACCAGCCCTGGATTCAGGAGGACCTGAGTTCAAATCCAGCCTCAGACATATAACACTTATTAGCTGTGTGACCCTGGGCAAGTCACTTAACCCCATTGCCCCCCCCAAAAAAAAGAAGTTATGAATTTATCTGGGATTTAATGGAAGCCAGAGATGCAAGGAGATAGAAATGAGGAGGGAGAAAATTCCGGGGATTCAGAATAGCCAGTGGAAATGTCCAGAATCATGATATAGAGTGTTTTGTAGGAGGAAGAGCAAAGCATGAATCACAGAGGAGTAGGTGAGGTGTAAGAAAACTGGCAAGTTAGAGGGTGCCAGGTTATGAAGGGTTGATGACTAAACATGATTTTATATTTATCCTAGAGATGATAGGGAGTCACTGGAGTTTATTAAATGCAAAGAGTGAAGTGGGAGGGAGAAGGGATGAAATGATCAGACCTACCTCTTAGTAAGATCGATTTGACAGCTGAATGGAAAACTTGGAGTTGGGAAAGACTTGAAACGTGGAGACCAACCAGTAGGCTATTGTAATTGCCTAGGCATAAGGAGATGAGGGCCTTCACCAGTGTAGTCACGGTGTCAGAGGAGGGAAGAGAGCTTATATAAGAGATATTACCTAGGTAGAATCAACAGGACTTTGTAACGGATTGGATGGAGAAGGGAAGAGAGTGTTGAGAGAATGAAGCCTCAAAGATCATATCTAGAGTGCAAGCTAATGTGACTGAGTTGATGGTGATGCCCTTGACATTAATAGGAAAATTAAGAAGAGGGGAGGAGAGAAGGTCAAGAGCTCATTTTTGGACATGTTCATTTTAAGATATCTTTGGAGTATGTCCAATAGGCAGATGGGAATGTGAGAATGGAAATTAGAAGAGGTTAAGACTGGCTAAGTAGATATTAGACTGGCTAATTAGATATTCAGGAAGAAGGCCTAGGACTGAACCTTGGTGGATACACATGGTTAGGTTGTATAACATGTATGATGATCTAAAAAAGGAGGCCAAGTAGCAGTCATGGGGACATGAATGGAAAGAGTGGTATAGTTATAGAGTGAGAGTTCAAATTCCACATCTTCTGCAAACTCCCTATGTGACCACAAACAAATCATTTAAGCTCTTGGGTTTTAGTTTTATCCACCAAATGAGGAAGTTGGACGATGTGACCTCTCAGGTCTCTAGCTCTAAGGCTAAGTTCCTATGTTAATTAAAACCCAGACTTTGTTTCAAACAGACAAAAAAATATTTTTCACAAAAAAATGCAAATAAATTCCAATTGATCAGTTGCCTGCTGTGACAACATCTCAAAGTAAAACAAAAAGTCTTTGCAGGAATAACATAGTGTGTCAACAGATAAGTATTTTTATTTGGCCAGATTATGGAAACAATGTGGGTATTACTTTCTACCCCAAATGCAGTGGATCCATTAACATGTTATTACAGTTGTTTTAAAATGGCTCCTTTCTCACAGAATTTACAGTTTTAAAATTATAAGGTACTTTAGAGGTCGTGTCTCATCTCCTCTCTTTACAACTGAGGAAATTGAGGCCCAGAGAGAGGTGATCCAGTTAATCCGGGGCTGATTTAGGACACTAACCCAGGTTTTCTAACTGTGAGTCCATTGAGATTCCCACTACACAATGACTTCTAAAATTACTTCTTAGAATAGTTCTTAGACATTTCTCCACCCTGTATAGCAACAGTGGGAAAATATAGCCTCTTGGTCTTTTTTTAGTGTAATAGATTCTTTTATTTGGTGTGGCAGGGCCTTTAGTAGATTTATTGGCTACTGACACTAGGCTCCCCTTTTTAGTTTTCCCCCAGGGAGAATTTAACAATTAAAGTAGCTCCCTAAGTCACAACCATAGATTCACTTTTGTTTAACTACTCTCCCATTTATGTCACTTCTTGGCTTTCTATTATGGCAGTTCTAGTACTCACGGGAAAATATATGTTAGACAAGAAGTGTTGGACCAGAACTTTTTCTTATTTTTCTTTTAAAGTCATGACCAATAATGTTTAGGAAAGAAAAGAGACTTGTTGAACTTATGTTAGTCCAGGAATCAATGTCATTTCATGTCAAGTCTGAGCTTTATTTCTGGAGCCAAATATCATTTTTGTGTGCTTTATGACCACATGTAAGTCTACCCTTCTTGACTTAATTGATTCCATGAAAACTGTGTTAAGTGATCCTGGCTTCAACCTACCTTTCCAGCTTTATTTCCCATTACTCCTCATTTTATACTCTATATTCCAGCAAAACATGGTCAGGAGCTCTTCTCTGAACTTGATTTGCTATTGCTGGTCTCAATGCATGAGTACATTCTGGTTCCCATATCCGGAATGCATTCCCTCCCTGCAGAATCCTCTTATTTTTTTTCAAGGTTCAGCTCTAGTTTGGACTTACATAGGAAGAACTCCTTGATTCTAATTCCCCATACATTCAACACCCATTTTTAGTATTCTCTGCCTCCTCAGTCTTCCTAAAGCAATTTTTTTCCCACTTCTCTCCTTTGTTTCCATCAATACCTACCTTGTTATACTTAGCTATGTAACTGTTCTATCTTCTTTCCTCTAGGAGGATATAATTTCCCTGAGGACAGGAACTGATTTTTTTCAATCTTTATATCCCTATCTCTTAACACAATGTCTTGTACTTCACATTTTGTTCAACTTAATTGAGGAATCTGCGGACCTCAAACCCATCTAATTTATTGTCCATACTTTTACACACGATGAAACCTGAGGCTTAGGGATATTGTGACTTGACCAAGGTTACACAGGTAGTAAACATTATGGAAGAGATTTGAATTCAGACTCCCAGACTCAAATATTTTTCCCACTTTACTGGGGAGAAGAGGAAGACATATTGTAGCTGATGGAGAAGTGGGAAACTAGTGGTACTATACGTTCATAAAATACCAAAGAAGATATTGTAAATTCAATTCAATGTAAGACATTTATTAAGCACCTACTACTATGTACAAGGTACTAGGCAATGAAATGACTCTGGTTATGAATATATTTGTAGTATAATCTGTCAGTTTGAACTAAAATCTTGTAAATGTTTATTGAAACTTGGATATTTGCCTCATTTTTCTTTTATTCACTTCCATATGTAATTTATGTACAGTGGATAGATCTAATTATTATGAAAAAAAGAATGAGCTAGATGGCACAGTGGATACAGCACTGAACTTGGAATCAGGAAGACTCATCTTTTAATCTCTTATCAGTTTAAATCTGGCCTGAGACACTAAATACCTGTGTGACCCTGAGCATGTCACTTAACTCTATTTGACTCAGTTCCTGATTTGTAAAATGAGCTGGAAAAGGAAACAACAAATCATTCCAGCATCATTTCCAAGAAAACACCAAATGGAGTCATGAAAAGTAGGACACACCTGAAATAACTAAACAACAACAATAACAAAAATGTTTATTTCTGTCTCCAAATATGCAAAGCCCAATGAGCATATGCACAACCAGTTTAACAGAATTGCTCCATTTTCAAAGTATTTGACTTCAGTTTTGTGAAAAAGTAAACAAGCAGGGTGTGTGTGTGTGTGTGTGTGTGGAGACGATTTAAAAAAATACAAAAATACTCCCAATCACAGTTTTGTTAAACTTTTTACTTTTGTAAAACTTATAAACATATTCTAGCATTGTAATTTAAAAGCTAAAATTCCTCTCCCTCTTTTCAATATTTCAGTGCATCATGGTTAGAAAAACTTATTTGGTTTAATGTTTGTCACATTGCACCAAACTCCATCATCTACATTCTTGGCCAATGTAAAAAAAAAATCAGTCAGATTTTATTATTCTATCTTTTTGTTGGAGAGAGAAATCCAAAAACTAATATTAATAAATTATATTAATGTCATATTTCTTCCAAGGAACTCCAAGTGTTTTGCATATATACTGTTCAGAAAAACAAATGAGGTATCCTATGGTGGCTAATAGATATTATTTTCCTTGAAAATTGAGTCCTAACTCAATCTGCATGTAAAGTGACAATGTTTTCTATTAGCTTGTTTTTTGAGTTGCAACATAATCATATCATCGGTTGGAAAGGACTTTAAAAGCCATTCAATCCAACCTCCTTTGTTAACGTGAGAAATTCTAGATACAGCGAGGTAATGACTCATCCAAGTAACCTAACTCTCTATGTAGTAAAGAAAGGGCTAGAATTGAGACCTCCTAATTCTTGGTTCGGTATCCCCATCGTCCACCACCACCTTGCTTCTAAATTTTTGGCTGTTTTGTGATATTCTTTCTTTTGTGATCATTTCTTGAAAGACATTATTTTTGATAAGAATTAATTTACCTGGTGAAAATGTATGCTACATGTGTTTTACATTAATAAGTGTTGAAAGTGTATGTATATGTATTTTTCCTCAACAGGGGATCTGGGTACCTGAAGGAGAGACAGTAAAGATACCTGTGGCTATAAAGATTCTCAATGAGACAACTGGTCCGAAAGCAAATGTTGAATTCATGGATGTAAGTACAAACACTTCATCTCTTTGATTTCTTTCCAGTAGTGACAGGCCTAATTTTAAAATAAAACAACTGACTGCCTTAAACAAACAAAACAAAAAAGCTTTCTGCAGTTTACAAGCTTTGTCTTCAGGGACAGGTTGAATTGTAGGTTTTAGAAATTCCCTAGGGCTACCCAAGATTAGAGGAGGAAACAGCTTGATTTATGGCTATACTTCTGATTTGACTAGGTAAATGTAGCCTGAGCATTTGGAAATTGGGCAGACCTGATCCAGTATTCTCTGAACTGAATTCTTCTCTCTATTAGCTTTCCTGTCTAGTTTTCTAGATATTACTAATAATTCAGTTGCAGTTCCTTTAAGAACAAGTAGTCCAGGAACAGCTAGGTGATGCAGTGGATAGAGCTCCAGCTTTGGAGTCAGGAGGACCTGAGTTCAAATTCGGCTTTGGACACTTGACACACTAACTGTGTGATCCTGGGCAAGTCACTTAACCCTGATTGCCTCACCAGAAAGCAAAAAAAATAAAGTACTCTATAAAAGTGTTATAAATGTAAAAGGAAAAGTGTGTTGGCTATTTTTGTTGAATGATCCAGAAAGTATAAGCGTATTACTTTAAAATAGCCATATCAGCTCATAATTATTATATATGTGTTTGCAATGATGATGATGAGGATTATGTTGGTATTGATGTAGTAAAATAAACCCATCTGTTCTATTTTGTTATGTTCATGGCCTCTTTTGTAAAAAGATTTTATTGCTAGGTAGGACTCGTAGTCAAGATGTGCTGTATTGGATTTAGAAGTTGACCTAAGTCAAACATCCTATATTTGAGATGTACTGTCTGGCTAAACTCCCAAGTTAGAACCTAGAGGTAAAAAAGGTCCCCTTCTATTGAATAATAGCCTTGTTAGTCTTAAAAGAGAGGAGTGTTGAGCAAGGTCAACCTCTTGATAACCTCAAATGGGCTTCTCTTATTTTTAGACCCCCAAGCATCAACTAAAGACATATTTAGCACATAGTCAGGGTGGTGCCTGAGAATATTCCCTTTTGAACCATTCGAAATTTTTTGGCACTGTGCCTGGAAAATATCTCAAAGTATAAAGCCGAAACGTTTTCCAAGGAATAGACAAGCGTCCTATTTTAAGTTAATCAGAGACAAGGATTTGCAAAAACAATACCAAATTTTAAGGAAAAAAAAAACAACAACCAAAAACTATAACCACGAGTAGAAATGGTGCAGATTGTGGGAGATGGAGAAACAGTCTGGTACAGCCTAGTCTGCAGTTGCTGCTGAAATCCAGAAGAATGTTAATAACTCTGCTGGATGCCCAGGGCAGCCATTTTTGTCATATTTCCATGGAAACAGGAAGGCAAAAGGGGGTTAAGAGGCTACAAAATAATCACCTAAAAGCTCTGAAAACCTCATCACTATTTTGAATGATTATTTGAAAGCTCCTAACCCCATTTTTTTTTTTTTTTGGCTGATCCAAAGTCTATTCCCATGGAAACAGGAGTGGGAATGGCAACTTGAAGTCTTAGAGTGCTGCTGAATTTTAGATGAGGCTTCAATTGAGTCATGAAAAGACTCATTTTCTCAAAGATACTGGTGGATTTGGGAACTGACAGACTCCCAGGGGTCTTTTTTAAGTATTAAAAATAGGGGAAATATTTTAAAATTTCTTTCTTATGCCTCTTGTGGTGTATCTGTGAGACGGATTAACATGTTGAGAAGCTGCCATCAGCACAATTTCAAAACATGGCACATAAGATTTTTGCCTACTATTTGGTGTTTTCCTTAGTGTTCAAATGTTAGTGTATGGAAGAAAGATGCAGGTTGTTTAGAGTAGTGGGAGGTATATTTAGTATTATATCTCTGGTTGAGTTAGAAAATAGAGGGATTATTCCTAGATCTGATTGAAATCTATCCACTCTTCCCTAGTTTATTTTGTGTAGATCATTAACAAGCCTGGATGTGGTATTGGGTAAAAAATATGATAGTACCTGTAAGTAGGATGATGACTGGATTTAGCTAGAGAAGCAAGTTAGATCACAAAATGTTTTTCAGGTTACTAAAAAAAAAAAGAAGAAAAAAAAAGAAGGGTTATAAGTGGCTTTCTATATTCCTCCAAGTACAGAGTTTTAAGTCAAAATAAGATAATCTGTTTTTAGGAACACAATACTTGAATTGGGTAAACTTTTTCTGGATAATAGTGGTATTATAAAAGGTAGCATGGAAAACTGGCTAGAGGGATGAAGTAGAGTCAGGAAGGCCTGAGTTTAAGTATCATCTCATACACATACTGGATTATGGCCCCAGAGAATTCTTTAGAGTTATCAATTGCAGAGTAAGTGCCAATATTCATTGGAAAGGGGGATTTCCTCATTGGGATCCCCTTATATGAAAAAGAATCACACATTGTTGTTGTTCAGTTCATAGGGTCCATGTGCTTTTCTTGGCAAGATGCTGGAGTGGTTTGCCATTTTCTTGTCCAGTGGATTAGAGCAAACAGAGGTTAAATGATTTGCTCAGGTTCACACAGCTAGCGTCTGAGGCCAGATTTGAAATCAAGTCTTCCTGACTCTAGGCCCAGTGTTCTGTCCACTGAGTTGCCTAGCTGCCTCCTAGGTTAAATAACTTGCCCCAGGTCACACATCTGGTGAGTGTCTGAGGCCAGATTTGAACTAAAGTCTTTCTGACTTCAGGCCTAGAACTCTTTATCGCACATACTTTATACCATTTTGTAGGGTGAGTTGAAAAAAAAAAGATTGGAAAGAAAAAAAGTATTTACTTATAGTGAGCACAGAACCATACATTGTCCTATAACTACATATGTATTATGTTTTCATGTCACCCATGACTTCATTGGTACAGTGTATTGATGAGTCAAATGCTTCTACCAACACAGATCATCATCTGCTTGGCCACTTAAAGTGTAAGAGAGTTTCATGAGAGCTTAAGAGAGGTGGGCCTTGTAAGGGAAGAATTTAGCCAGCATGGATCAAAGGGAAGACTTAAACACAGGCCTTCCTGACTCCAAAGCCAACTCTCTACCCATACAATATCATGCTACCTTTCCCAGGAATTTTTCAATTGAATTCTCCCACTCAACCATGCTCTGATGAGTGTTACTGTAATATCTGACATAGGAGAATGGTCATAATCCACACAGAAAATGTTTACATTACCTCCAAGATTCCTGCACATGTCCAAAAGAGCAGTCAAGCACAGTTTGATTTTCTTAGAAATTTCAGAGTTGTCAGAAAATAAACTGGAAGTGGTTTAAATTCTATTAAATGTTGTACTAAATGCAGGAGACAGGCAATTTGACCACTGAGTTGTTATCTCAGTGCCTCAGAACATTTCTAATGGATTTCTAATAACAATAATGATATAGCATAAATGGTGAATGAATGAATGACCATTCCTTCTTTTCCCATGAGGGGAAAACACTAAACAACAAAAAAAGAGCATTTCTTCAAACTTTGTTGAAGGACAGCTTGTATTTCACATATGCTTTTAGTTCTTATTTTCAAATAGGTCAGGAAACTGATTCTTTTTCCTACCCAGCATGACATAAACATAGCTAAGAAATAATGTTAGTGGCTAAACTTAATGGATTTGGGGAGCATGGCCTCCTAAAATCTGACATGTCTCAGTCAATTTGTAGAAAATAACATTTGAGCATACATACATTTTCCATTTAACAATAACTTTTGAACTATCTTTTAAAAAAAACATTGCTGTATGGACATTTACATTCAATTTGACTGAAGCCCCAATGTACTTCCTGCCACTTTCTTTGCCCAGAGAAATTAACAGAACAACAGTGATGCAAACCCAGGGCTTTTCATCCACTAATAAATTCTACAGTAATCCTAAAAATTACTGTAGTTGATCCTCAAATGATCATTGCTATGGAAACTATTAAACCCATGGACTTAGTGTGCAAAATCCAAGTTGTCCCAAGGTTGTACTCCCTTGCTACCCTGATGCTGAAAGCGGTCCTTCCTCCAGAATGACAGTGTTTGGAAGGACTGCATGGATGTTTGGTATGATTTTATTTCACTTTCAAGGGTTCTGAAGCTATTTTATACTAATGTATTAAAATGACTGAACAATTTGTTAAGAAAGAGAAAAAAAACTCCCCCAAAAAGTAGAGGACAAAGAAGCACATTTAAGTGAACCTAGAATGAGGAAAATTCTGCAGTCTTCTAAGATGCAGTATTTTAGTGACTTCTCAATATTACTTTCTTCATGTTTAACCCCAATGTTCTTTGCTTCATCGTCAAACACCTTGTTTTAGTTAACTATCCCAATTGTAATTAGACTTCTTTGGAAGTTGTATTTTGACTCAGTAGGGTATAATTTACAAAGCTGCAACTTAAGTATTTAAAAATAGACCCTCATTGTGTCCTGCATCACCTTCCAATCATTTACCCTATACCTAGTCCATAAGAACCTTTGACTTATTTTCACACTGCTTTGTGTGTCTACATACCTTTCTCCTAAAAAACAGTAAGTATGTTTTCATTGTTGCAGTCTTTTCTTAAAAGAAATTATTTTTAGATGTCTGGTACTTTTTCTTGTTTTCTACTCTTTAAAATTTATTTATTTTTATTCTGAAATTAACAAAGACCAAACAAAATGAGCATTTCCATATAAGAAACAGAATGGGAAAAGAGAAATATACGTGAAACTGTGAGTCTCCTATTATTTGCTTTTCTTTTTAGCATATAATATTTGTAGCATTAAAAGCTTCCCTGTTTGTGTTTTCTCCTGGAATTTCTTCTGTTCTTTCCTATGTATTTTTGGGGCATTAGGCAATGGGATTAAGTGACTTGCTCAGAGTCACACAACTAATAAGTGTTATGTGTCTGAGGCCGTATTTGAATTCAGGTCCTCCTGAATCCATGGCCTGATCCTGTGCCACCTAGCTACCGCTCTATGTATTTTTAAAAATGCTTTAATGGTCCCCTTTTCTTTTATACTCTTTGAAATCA